ACGGGGGAGCTGCTGCAGCGCGAACCTCGCCGTGGGGAGCGGGGATCGAAGCCCTGTTCGCTGCAGCTGCTTCTGTGTCTCGGTTCCAGCCAGCCGAAAAACTGAAGGCTCATCAGGATCACTGGCTTTACTTCCTAAATCCGTTTCCCTTCTTTTACTGTAGAAGCAGCTGTGAGAAGCCATCCTGCTGATTTTTTTTTCTCTGCATTTGTTTTAATTTTTCAGACATGCTCCGTTTATCTACAGTACTCGGTCAGATCAGACCAGTGTCCAGAGCACTCGCCCCCCACCTAACACGAGCCTATGCAAAAGATGTGAAGTTCGGAGCAGACGCCAGAGCTCTGATGCTACAAGGAGTAGATCTTCTAGCAGACGCTGTAGCTGTCACCATGGGGCCAAAGGTAATCGGAGACTTAACACTGACCTGGTTGAAAGCACCATAGCATAAAAGTTTGTTAGCTTTCCCTAAGTGGAGCTGCATGATTGCATCTGCAGAACCGCAGTGCAAAGGGTGAGGGGTATGGACAGGCTGCCGAAAGCTGCAGGCAGCTGAATTCCCATGTTTGTCACCTGAAGCCTCACAATAGTGCACGTGCTTTTCATGGTAACAAATTAAAATCACTTCGATTACTGTGAAAGGTGCGGTGTAGTGGTTTGAAGGTTACGGTGATGTGCATAATGTGTTACTACCTCAGTTGATAGCTTGTAACAACGCAGTAGATAATGTAACTGTCTGTGTTGTGGGGTGGGTTAATCAGCATGTGGGGTTTTCTGTTTCTTGGGGGCAGATGGGTTGTTTTTACAAATTACAGTTGTTAATCAGGGGGTTTTTTTAGTGCCGAGTACACATCCATAGTGTAGTGTTGAGCGTTCAGTTGGCTGGTAAATGTTACCAGCTTCAGTGAAATGCCGTGGCGGTGGCATTCCTTCATGTTACACTATATTCTGTCCTGTGAGTTCTAGGTCTCTTGAAAAACTGGCTCTGGTATCCTGCATAGTCATGCAATGTGCAGTAAAGCTTGAAATGAGCTTTGTTTTTAAGGAAGAGACACTGATTTTCTTTGGGCTCGTGTGAATGTCTGTTCCATGTAATACATGTGCATGGTAGTTCTTCTCAAGGCTGCTTGGTCTCTGTAACGTAATTCATGTATTTTCTGTATGTTTTTAGTGTTCTGTTAGGTTTATTCAAAGGCAAAAATGCCATAAGCTGAGCAGATGGAGGTTAAGGAACGTGATGTCAGCAAGCTGTGTCTGTTTTCCCTAAACAAACGAAGTTTAAGTGTGGTTAGTTAATTCAACTTCTGTTTTTTTTGATTCTGCTACTTTGTGAGTGCATTGGCTTAAGGGCAGCTGCTGATGCAACTTTGTGTAACCTTATGGGTTTTTGTTCCAGTGTTCTCACTTTTTCTGCTGTTCTCTATGTATTTGTAGAAATCTGGGGATTGTACAGCAATGCCTGACTGTGCTTTTAGTGTTTTTAATAAATATCAATCTGGTGAGGAGACTTCCTTTAGGTACTGTTCTGCATTTTAAGGAATGTGGTTTGTGGTCTCACACAGTCTTTTGATAATGCTCCAAAGTGTTCAACAGAACCAGTTTATGTGAGAGCTCAGCTTCTCAACATGCAGGAGTATTCCAAGTGCACGTGTGTTTACTGATGGTGTTCCCTGCTTCAGGAACATAAATTTTGTCCTTTCACGTGATTGGAGAGAAATAGGTTTTGTTGTGCCATTCCTCTCAAAGCTGCAAACCAAATATTTGGTTTGTAGCAAAATATAGAATAAAATTAGGCAAAACTAGAGAGACTGCGTGAAGAACTTCCTAGTAGCAGGATCCACCAGAGAAGAGTTTTCTTATTCTTGAACCACTTTTAGATTTGAAAGTGCAAGTCGAATAAAACAGTGGTAAGCAGCCAGGGTATGAATTATTTGGCATAGCTTTTTTATGTCACAGAGGTAAATTTACGTAAGCTGTTCCCCAAGTTCAGCCTGAGTAACTGAGGCGTAACCTTTCCTCTGTAGCTCCGAGGGGTGGCTGTACTTGGGGAGCAGCCCGTGTCTGGCAGGCAGCCCGAGTCAGCTCAGTGGCTGAGGCAGATGTGCTGGGCTCTGTGCAGGAGCACAGTAGGCGCTGCAGGGGAGTCCTGGGCTGGCTTGGCACGTGATCCCAGCTCCGGGTGGAGCTGGAGCCACACTGGGGCTCGAGCAGCCATGGCAGGAGCCAGAGTGGTCAGCCCTGAGCTGGACCTGACAGACAGGGTGAGAGCACTTGTGCGGGGTGAGAGCACTTGTGCAGGGTCCACTGGGAGCAGCAGAGCTGGGTGCTCTCCCTTCCCTCTTCCAACAGCTCCAGCTGTCAGGATAGCTCAGGAGTTTCAGGGCAGCGGTGGAGCAGAGGAGGCTCCTTGTGTTTCTGCTCCCTCCAGCTAAAACTGGAACGTGATTGTTTGGGGCAGCTGTTCAAGCTATTGAATTCATCTGGGAACAAGCAGTCTTCTTGTGCAGGTGCATTTGCCCTGCATTCCCTGGGTGGTTCACAGTTTCCCCTGTTAACTGTGTCCGTGTATGTTGGGTACAATAGTCCAGCTTTTCAGCTGTATCTGAATGTGGGCTAAGAGAAGAAAGGCTTGGTAACTTGCAGTGTTTGAGAAATTAATGTAACACATTAAGACAAATTTGTTAGGTATTCTCAATTTTCTTTGGTAGTCACCAGTGAGGTTTCCAAGTCTCTACTTTTTTTTCTTTCTAGCACATGCAGCAAATTGATCCTTGTATTGCTTTTCTCAATCACAAAGACTTTTTATTGTGGTTTAATAGAAATTTTGCAGGTTTAGTTCTTTGTGTTGCTGTATATTTAATTTTCGGGTAAAATATTAGTGTTAGAGGGAATCTCTTCAGTTATTTTTGTCTGTAAGGCCAGTCTGTCTTTAGTTGCAGACTGTGGTATTAAGCATTGTGGCTTAGGAATGCAGCCTCATTCTATGAAAGCATGAAACCTTGGAGCCGTTTTTCCAGTTCTGGAGAACCTTGGTAGTGTTTGCTGAAAAGTCCCAGCTGAAAGCTCTGTGCAAGGTGTTCAGCTGTGGCTGTTCAAAAGGATCTTCATCTTCACCTGAGCTCTTAAGAGTAACGTGCTGTGGGTTGGCTTTGGTTTAATATTTGTTCTTTGTCACCCTAGGGAAGAACAGTTATTATTGAACAAAGCTGGGGAAGCCCCAAAGTGACAAAAGATGGCGTGACAGTAGCAAAGGCAATTGACTTGAAAGACAAATACAAAAATATTGGAGCCAAGTTAGTTCAAGATGTTGCCAACAACACGAATGAAGAAGCAGGAGATGGTACCACTACTGCCACGGTACTCGCACGTGCTATTGCCAAGGAAGGCTTTGAGAAGATCAGCAAAGGAGCTAACCCAGTAGAAATTAGGAGGGGTAATTTTTTTCCCTTGTTTTTAATGTTTAATCACAGTCATCTATTTTTCATATCCTGAATTTGACTTTATGAATAAGTTGCCTTCTTTTTGAAGAGGGCCACGTATATGAAGAGCCTTTATATGAAAAGTGATGCTTAGAGAACATACTTGTTTCTATTACCTTTTTGACTTTGAACAATTCTTCATTTTTCTAGTCATTTTTTTATTATTTTATATGCAGTTAACTTACTTGTCATAGGTAAACTCCTATTTCTGCATTTACTGCTGCCGTGGAAGGCAATTTGTGACAAATTTCAGTCATAACAAAATATCTCGCACCAATTCCAGAAAAGGTCACCAGATACACAAAAGGCAACATAGAACTAGAACTATTGGGTTTTGGACATGCAAACTTGATGCATTTTTGCAGTGTGGACTTTTTTTTTGTAATGAAACCTGTTCAGTGAGGTAGGTGGGTGGGTGGTTTGGTTTTTTTCTGTGCTGTATACCTTGTTTTGTTCACTCACAAGTATTTTCTTCATGTTTAGGGGTGATGCTTGCAGTCGATGCTATCATAGGTGAACTGAAGAAGCTGTCTAAACCTGTTACAACTCCAGAAGAAATTGCACAGGTTAGAAAAAAAACACAATAAAACATAACCCAAGTTTACACAGCTGTTCAGAAAAAAGTTTTGGGCAGTTAGGTTTAGTGGAGTTGGGTTGTGTGCATGTGACACCTGGGCATTTTTCTTTAAACATCAGGGTTGAAGTTATGTTTTGATGAGTGATCTTCATGGTTATGCTTTCTTGTTCCTATTTTAACATGTCCAGTATTCTGCCTTCAATTACACTGCTAGAAGTTGCTTCAGAATTAGGTTGTTTTTTTCACCTTCAAGTTTCATTCCTAAGTGGGGCCTGAAAACATAAATTTGTGTACTTGGGAGGAATTGATGAGAGCAAAGCTGTGTTTGTGGATGGGAGGTGAAGGCAGAGTTTGGAGGATGTGGCAGATCACTCAGGTCAAGGTGGGTGCCCAGCTGGGTTTTGGGCACCAGGTGTGTTGGTCTCTGTGGGTTGTACCTCCCTCTGGCTGCAGATTCAGGTGGTCTGTGTGTGAGTCCAGTGCAGGGAATCTGGCCCTGTGCTGGAGCTCTCCAAGAGCTGTGAGCCCTTCCAACAGAGATCTTGGGTCCTGGGGTGGGTGTGCTACAGTTAGCTGCCATGTCTTGTCACATGTTAATTGAAAATGGTTATCCTGGTTTTCCTTATAGTGGGAAACAAATTCCTTGTGTTGTGAAATGAGATGAAATGCTTTGCTGTTTCAGGTTGCCACGATATCAGCAAATGGAGATCAGGAAATTGGCAATATAATCTCTGATGCAATGAAGAAAGTTGGAAGAAAGGGTGTGATCACTGTCAAGGTAAGAACTGACCAACATGCAGACTAAGTGCAAGGTGACTGTCTTTTCTCCAGTTAGGGCTGTGTTTTGTCTCATGGAATGTAGCTGCTGCTGCTCACATGGTCTCCCACTATAATTCCTCCCCATCTCCCTTAGATCAGGGTTTGAACATCGTTCCTTCTATTTGGAAAGGAAGCACATGAAAACTGGTGTGTGGTTCAGAGGCTGTCCTTCTGTTGTGCATAGTATGCTAAAGTTATACTTGTGCTTTTGGTAACAAAGAAGGGATCTTTTAATGTGGACTTTCTTGCATCTAAACAGGATGGAAAAACTCTAAATGATGAATTGGAAATCATTGAGGGTATGAAATTTGACAGAGGCTACATCTCTCCATATTTTATTAATACAACCAAAGGTGAGTTACCAATAACCCATGTCATATACTTTACAGTGGCTCTTGTAAATAATTATAATTATACTTTACAGTCCCTTATGCTTGTGCCACAGAAAATAGGGCAGGGGGTCCTTTCCCATCAGGAAATTTTAACTTGGTAAAAGCTTGGAGTTTTGGGGGTTCGCTTTCCTCTCTGCACAAAGAGAATGATCAACATCAGGCTGGACCTGCAAGAACAATGCAGGACTGAAAGTGGGGTCTCGGAGAAAAGAATTTGTCTCATTTTTTAATGCAGTTTAAAAAGTGCAGCTGTTGCTCCAACATAGCTGTTGAAGTTAAAGGAAGGCTTGGTGTTTTTGTAATGGAATTGTTTAGATAATGTGTGCTGTTTCTGCAGGGCAGAAATGTGAATTCCAGGATGCTTATGTTTTAATCAGTGAAAAGAAAATTTCTAGTGTACAGTCCATAGTTCCAGCTCTTGAAATCGCCAATGCTAACAGGAAACCTTTAGTCATTATTGCTGAAGATGTTGATGGAGAAGCTCTCAGCACTCTAGTCTTGAACAGGTGAGACTTAAAATCCATCCTTTTAGACAAATACTGGTTTTTTTCTTATTTCCATCCTTTTAAAGGAGTACATACAAGAGAACGTGTTTAATATTTCTGTGGTGTAGTGCTGTTTGTTCTCTTGTCTGTGCCAAAGAAACAGCAGCTTTGGACATCACCATACTTTGTGTCAACTCAGACAGAAACTCAGTTGTGTCTTAACTACTATTTTGGGCAAAATCAGCTCAGTTCATGAAGGTGTCTTGTTTGCTTGATTGGTAGAGCTGTACTGAAATAATTGGATTTAGTAATTAGACTCGTTTTCTGAACACATTTGGAATGTTGCTCTCTGAATTTTTCTCTTCAGGCTGAAGGTTGGCCTTCAGGTTGTTGCTGTAAAAGCACCAGGTTTTGGTGACAACAGGAAAAACCAGCTTAAGGATATGGCAATTGCTACCGGTGGTGCTGTAAGTAATGATGTTTTAAGTAGGTTTTTGCTCTAAGAAATGTTAATGATATTTAAGGAGGAAAATTAATGTGTATTTTTAGGTCCTTGGCTTGTATTTTATGGGCTGCAGGCTCTGTTCTGTCTTTCAAAAATGTAACAGTAACTCTGATATTAGAATCTTCCTGTTTTTTTAAAATGTAGACACTGAAAATTGCTGTGTAATACAGCCCTGGCCAACCATGAGCAGTACATCCTTGTAACTGACTGAAGTCACACGTGATTTCCTTGCAGGATTTAGACTGTTAAAGGGAAGGAGGAACTCCAAGACAGTATCTTAGAAATATAGCAAAGCTTTCTTGCTGCCTTATAAGACTGATTGTCTCACAATTGCCTGAACTCAAATGTGGCAAATATAATAACTGAAAATGTGTAGAATTGACTGAATGGTTTTCTTAACTCTAAACTTTGCATATACTTGGTGCACTGATTAATGTCCCTTTATGTGCCTTTTTGTTACACATACTTCAAAATCATGGCATGATACTGGGATGCAAAGGAGGCTATTGAAATAAAACTTCACGTTTAAGCTAACTGCAGCACAAAGTAACAAGCCAGCAAACTGTTTTAAAGTCTGTGAAGTGCCAATATTTTTAACTTCTCAAAATACACTGAGGTGACCGGTGACAGGACCTGAGGAAACGCCATGAAACTGTGTCAGGGGAGGTTTGGGTTGGATATTAGGAAGAGGTTCTTCACCCAGAGGGTGGTTGGGCACTGGAACAGGCTCCCAGAGATGTGGTCACAGCACCACAGTTCAAGAAGTGTTTGGACAGTGCTCTGTAATGGTGTAATTTGTGGGTTTGTCCTGTTCAGGGCCAGGAGTTGGACTTGGGTGATCCTTGTGGGGCCCTTCCAACTCAGGATATTCTGTGAGGACTGTGTAACACTGCTTTACTTCCCAGGCACTGTGAATCAGTGAGCTACACGAGTCAGGTGCGAGTGAGAAGCTGCTCATTTTCCATTCCATGAGAGTCAGTTTGTGAGGTACTTGCGTGCCTGGACTCCTTTAAGGAGAAGGGAAGAGTGTTGTTCAACTGCAGTAGTGTGATTATTTTGCACCATTAGCTGTATGTGTTGTAAAATATTGATGTATGGAGAACCTGTGAATTCCAGCTTTTCACATAATTTCTTTCAGGTGTTTGGAGAAGAGGGTTTGAGCCTAAATGTGGAAGATATTCAGCCTCACGACTTCGGTAAAGTGGGAGAGGTCATTGTGACCAAAGATGACACGATGCTTCTGAAGGGGAAGGGTGAAAAGGCTCAGATTGAAAAGCGCATTCAAGAAATTATCGAGCAGCTTGAGGTCACCACCAGTGAATATGAAAAGGAGAAGCTCAATGAGCGATTGGCCAAACTCTCTGATGGAGTAGCAGTATTGAAGGTACGAAGAGATAATGAACTAAAACCGTGTTTAGGTTTCTTGACTGCTGAGGTACAGAAGGCTGCCAGCACGGGAGAGGCTGGATTGGCTTTTTTGGCAGTTGTCAGTGCTCTTGGTTGTTTAGTTTGGGGGCAGCAGTGTTTAGCCAGCAGTGCTCTCCCACCCAGGCTCCTCGTGTGGACCTTGACGTGTGCCTTGCTGCTTGTAGGTGGGCGGCACGAGCGACGTCGAAGTGAACGAGAAGAAGGACAGAGTCACTGACGCCCTGAACGCGACCCGCGCTGCCGTGGAGGAGGGCATCGTCCCGGGAGGGGGCTGCGCGCTGCTCCGCTGCATTCCAGCGTTGGATGCCTTAACCCCAGCCAACGAGGATCAGAAAATTGGTGAGGAAGTTACTGGAATGTGTGTGGAAGTGTTGCGAGTAGCCTTTGTCCTGACTTGAGGCTTGCTCAGATGAAATGCAGGTTGCTTCCAGTGAGTTTTTAGTTACTTGATCTCAGGAACCTCACGCCCCCTTGGTATGGTGGTCTCTGCTTTTCAGGGGGAGGGAGGTTTCACTGAGTGCCTGACTTGACTGTGAAAGACCCAGTAACACTAAAGCAGCAGTGCCCCCTGCAGAGAGTGGCAAATGGTTAAAGAGCTGACTGTTCCCAGCCATTGCAGAGAGATGAAAAATCTAATAATGCTTAAGAGATTGTGTGACCAATCAAATGGAAAAAGGCTTTGTGCCATGTTGCACATAAAGAGTACTCCTGACTTCTTCAAAATGTAGTAAAACTAAAATTTGTGTGAATATCCTGCAAAGGTTTCATTTGTTGACAAATGTCAAGTAGCAGAGAACCTTTCCTCCTGGAACTGATACAAATAGATTATGTTTTTGCTCAGAGTGTTCTCTGTATTGATCTCCAGCAGCTCGTGCAGGCAGGCCTTGGCAGTGGGAGCAGTGTATGCAAAACATAGCTCTGACCACCCTTTTTCTTGCAGGGATTGACATAATCAAGAGAACACTGAAAATCCCAGCAATGACTATTGCAAAGAATGCTGGTGTCGAAGGATCATTGATAGTTGAGAAAATCCTGCAGAGCCCGTCAGAAGTTGGCTATGATGCAATGCTTGGGGACTTTGTAAATATGGTAGAAAAAGGAATCATAGACCCAACAAAGGTAACCTAAAGGTCTTAATTCTCAGCTTCTTCTCCTCCCGGCTCCTGTGACAGCCAGCAGGCATTAAGTTATTTCTCCCCTGTTTTAGGTGGTGAGAACTGCTCTGATGGACGCCGCCGGTGTCGCGTCTCTCCTATCAACAGCAGAAGCAGTGGTGACTGAGGTTCCCAAAGAAGAGAAGGAGCCGGCAATGGGAGGAATGGGTGGCATGGGCGGAGGAATGGGAGGTGGCATGTTCTAATTCCTGGGGTAGGGATGCATCATGAGCTGTGCTGTTGAAGACTGACAGTTCTGACTTTAAAAACTTGAGCTATCAGTGTCAGAGGGTGGATAGTGACTGAAGTGAGGCTGGTGTTGAAAAATCACTGTAACCATCAGTTACTGGATTTCATTTAACACACGTGTAATTGTTTACAGTCATTGTCCATGCCTACAGATAATTTATTTTGTATTTTTTGAATAAAGACATTTGTACATTCCTGATAACTGGGTGCAAGATCCATCTACCAAGGTCCTGATTTGAACTTAATTAAGGCACTTGATATTCTATTACAGAATTTCTTGGTGCTTGCCAGTACTAGGAAGAACTTGGAAGCCACTGTGCGTGAGACTAGACAATTGTGTACAAAGTAGGCAAATAGAGTTATGTGACCTTTATGTAATAAACTGCTCAAAAGTTACAAAAATGTATCACCTTTTTCATCTGCCATAGTTATGGGAGAGCCTGGACAGCCTGCCTCTAGGATTTACTAGAAATAGACACTTAATGCTTGAAAAAATGACAGGGCATTTCACACTGAGAAACATTCCTTTGTCTAGAATGTTTCTGAGAAATGCAAGTGACTTTAATTTTGGTAAGAAATACCTAAGCTGAACTGCACTACAGTTCTTTGAAATATTAAACAATGCTCTGAAAACAAGGCACGTGCACTGGCTTTATTTTGCCCTGTCTATGCTGGTTGTTTCATGTGCTTGAACAGGCCCAGTGCACCTTTCACAGTTCGGAGGAAGGGAAGTGCCCTGAGGGTATCAAACAGGTAAGTCTTGCCTAAGAAAGGGTTTGGGGAGGGTTTAAACAGTTCCTTTGATCAGGTGTAATATATGGTTACCTCCTCACTTTGAGCCTTCCAGTCTTGTCTTCCTTTCTGGTAATGGGTTGCAGAATTTAGTTATTTTGCACTAGATGCTGTTTTACCATTAGAAATGTTGCTTTGCCACTTACTGGGTTCTTTGACCTGACAAAGCTAATACCAGTGATGTGTAAAGTCGTCTGCCTTCCAAACTGCAGGACAATGGTGTTCCCAAACTTCTGTATGCTCATCTCTGATTGCCTCAACAAACGAAATTGCTGTACAATTTCTCAGTGCTGTAAAACTGACCTCAATCCAGCTGTCACTTTCCTCAGCTTCCTGCCCTTAATAACTGTCCTTCACAGAGGGGACATGTGACATGCCAACTCCTCTTTCTGGAAAAGTAAACGATCTGAAACTATTTGAGGGCTGTCTTTATTCTGAAACATACCTTCCTATGTTACATAACGTGCTGTCCTGTAGTAACCACGTGGGTTACAGACACTTTGGAGAAAGGAGCAGCTTCAGCACTTCACCTAGAGCTTCACCTAATTTCAGCAAGGAAATTGGGTAATGCAAGGCAGCACACAGTGAGGATTTAAAATCTATTCAAACCTATTCACCTGTGTTTCTTCAGAGACTGGAAAGAATAATTATGCCAGGGACAGAAGTACTGAATGTGGATTTAATCAGGACAGGTGGTGCTATCGTAATGGGCTGATAATAAAATGGTAGTGTAGTAATGAAAAACCCCTAAGAACTAAGGGTTTTAGTGCTCTTGTATGCTTTTTAATGACAGCTGGCTGTGGGTGTGCTTGGCTGCAGGGAGCAGAGGACATCTTGTTCCCTTCTTCCAGGGAGGACAGTACTGTGGTCCCTTGCTCTCAAAGAGGTAACACTTCCTTGTTTTACAGTGTGGGAACTGTTTGCATTAGATGAGTAACTAACTGAAGTGCAAGTTTAAGGGTGCAGGAGTAGGGGGGGGCAAGCTCAGCCTGCCAAATGTCCTACAAAGTGATCGGTGTCTGGAGCCCAGACAGATCCACTGGGAACCCCTGGCTGTAGCTGAGACTGCTGCACTCAGATTACAGTACTCCTTATGTGTATCCCCTGCATTTGGTTTCTGACAGTTGAGGGTGCTCTATAGCACTTGCTGGTCAGTTCAGAAGCAGCCAGAGATTCCTGACTCACCTTTGCCATTCACCTGGATTGAAAGCACCCACCACTCAGTGCCTGGCAAAGTGTTCCATTCTCTGTGAAGCCAGAATGTCGGTTCCCCTTGGCTTGGCCAGGGCTGGCTGAGTTGATGCTGTTAAATTACAGTCACACTACTAATAACTTAAACTTGAGTTAATATGTTACAGTGCTAGAAGAAAAATCATGAGCTTGGATAAGGCAGAACTTGGACCGTGATTACAGGAGCCGTGTGGCACGTTAACGGCAGCCTGAGATATGTTGGGTTACGGGAGCTGCCGGTTGTCTGTTACTGATAAGGCTTTAAGTTGCTCTTGATTGCAGCTTTTGAACTTTCTATACAGGTCTGGCTGAGCAGGTGTGTTTGGTACAGTATAAAATCTTAACACACAGCCCAGATAAGAAATAGATGCCCCAAAGGTGGAGCATGGCACTTAGAACAAATGAAGTGTACAAACAAGGTTATAACTGAGGTGGTTACAGTTGTCCCTTTACGTCTGATGAACTTCATGGAGCATCAGCTCCCGAGGTATGCTGGTTTCTGGGCCATGGAGTTTGGATGCTCTTCTTTCAAAGGCAGCAACCATCTGCTTTACCACTTCATCAAAAAACAGTGTAGCAAGTTTTGAGTGTAGAAGTGAACGAAATTCAAAGGAAACCTGTTTAAGACAATAGAGAATAATTATTTTTCCTGTTATCTGCTGTTGTGATAAAATGCTGTTACAAATAGACAACTCTATTAAAGAATCTCCAGTGAAGTTTTCAAGTGAGTTGTGGGAGAAAGAACAGGTTGTTCTGAGGTAAAGGTGAGTGTGTCTGTGAAGAAAAGCTGTGTTCCTTGGTCTCAGGACTGTTCCCCTGGGCTTTTGAATTAGAAGAATCCTATCATTCAGCTCTCTGAAGTAATCATTTACCTAAGCTGTCTTTAATAAATAATGTATTACAAAACAGATTTGGGATAATGAAAAACTACTGACAAACAATAACTTTGTGCACAGGATTCACTTGGGGGACTAAAAGTTGTCTGAAGAAAAATCCTGCATGACAAGACAGCAGACTTACAGGTAAGCTGGAACACACCCAAGAGACTTAAAAGCAGCTTGAAATAGTTACTTATTAAATACCAATATTTTAAATCAGTCCTTATTGGTGGCAGTAGTTCTGGTATGTTCAAACAAGCAGTTTACTAACTAAAACTACAGATTTGGTTTGTTTTGTATCTCCCACCTGAACAGCTCCCACTCCCAACCTGACATAGGCAGGCAATGGAATGGATTGAGATTGAAGTATTTGTGTTATCTCTGAGAAATCAGCAGATTCAATGCCAAATGGAGCAAATACAGCTTCTCCCAAATTCCTTATGAGCAATGCACATTAACTACAAAGCTGTAGAACAGAAGTAACTAAATGACTTGGCCCAAAAACCAAGTGTAGCTTCGTTTACATTTTCTTGACCTCAAGCAACAGTAAAATTAATGTGTATTTTGTAAGTCAGAGACTTACCATTCAAGGCATGCAGAGTTCTGCAGAGCAGGGATAATGAGTCTGGCATCATGCTCTGGAATTTCGTAAATCTTGAGGTGTGGTGCATTTATATACATACACTTAGGAAGTTTGCAGATGGTAAGAGTGGTGTTGTGTTTCAGTCTATGCACCAAATCATTTCAGAGCTGAAACCAAACTAGGGAAGTTCCCTGCTGGATATGTTTGTCTCCTGGAATCAGGCTGGCAAAACAGGATACAGCAGCTTCTGGGAACTGGCATAACCCAAAACTCAGGTAACATTTCCTAAAGCAAACGAGTGTTCTTGAAATCAAAGTTTTCTCTCGAATATCTGTAATTGCACGGCGTGTTTTGAGGAGTTTGTTGTGAAATGCTTATCATTCTTGTCTCCGTGTGCCCAGAGGCAGGACCAGCAAGGGTTAAGGCCCTAGGGAGGCAGCCCCAGCTCAGCTGGCTGCACTGGCTGCTGCTGCCTCAAAAAGGGGTGAGCAGTAAGATGTGTCCACAGTGTTCCCCCAAGACACAGAAAATGTCCATATCAAGTGCAGTTTTTACTCCCTTTAGGTGACCTGAAATGTCAAAAACGTGGCTTTGGTGTGGGGGTGGGTTGTGTGTTTCCTCACAGAGTCTGTGTTTAGATTATAGGTTTAAATAGTTGTTTAATTCAAGTTTTCTCAACTTGGATTTTTATGGCTTGGGATTTAGGATTTGGGTTAAAAGCTAGCTTATGTACTGGTTAGTAGTAGGAACTGACACTTATTTCCCTGGAGAAATTCAAATATCAAGAGCAAATAATGTGCAAACATCATGAACAAATCCTATGAGAAATGTATTTTTTTGAGTGCCACTAGATTAATTTTTATTCTTGAACCGTAAGAAGTGAAATACAGCAGTAAGCTGAAAGTTTTTAACCCAAAGAGGTTAATGTGCTAGTTTCAAAATACCCCAAAAGCTTTTTCCTATTTACTGAAGATAATTTTCAAAGTAGAATATTCCAGTAGATGGCAGCAGGATTAACCCATCTCTGTGCACTTTTGCAGCCTGTTGTGATCCCCAGCTTCATTATGTGCTCAATGCAGCTCCTACACTTTATGCTATAAAATGCAAGAAAAAAATGTGATGACAGACTAAAGAGACGTTGAAAAGCAATAACTGGAGTGGAAAACAACTTGTCTGGGAGTAAAATCAGGCTCAATCAGGTACTGGATTTAAAGAGCAATAGTTTGGGCTGCAGTGATATCCCATCACAGATTAGAAAGATTAGACAGGAAAAATCTATTATGCCAAAAGGAAAAAGTAAGACTTAAAATACATGACAGAGTAAAACTGAAAGCCAGGAAATCAAATCGACCAAACTGCAGGCCCAACAGGACAGATGGTACCAGAAAGTAGGTGCTCTCCCAACTTAGGCTGTAGAAAAATTAAAGGAAACGGCAAACTATGTTTAGCATTTCTTCCTCTGTATTTGACTGTCTGAAAACTTCAGCATGTTTAGAACTGTGTGGTGAGAGGTGCCCATCCTCAGACTGTTTTCTGATACCTGGACACCTCACAGAAGATTCCTGTCTCTAAAGGACACTGTAGTGGTTTCTGTGTGGTCAAGTTTTGGATAGTATTGACTAAAACTAACTTGTTTTCTGTGTATTTGTGTTTAACAAAAAGTACCAGGCATTTAAAAAAAACCCCACACAGTTGAAGACAGTGTTTCTAATTAAGGCAGTGCTCCTTAATTACGATACTTACTGAAAAATCCAATGTACATGTCCTTGGATATCCAGGGATACCTGGGCTCAAACGCCACACTGTTTCCAAGTGATTAAATAGTTTTCCATCTGTGCACGATGCCTAAAAGAAAATTTGAAAAGTCAAGCTGCAGTTAGGCTTTTACAAACGTGACAAGCTGGTATTACTGAAGTTTGCATTTGCATTTCTTAGGCAGTGATGGCCACAGCAAAGTTGAAACTGTTCTTGCAGCACAGCCAGCATAAGGTCCCATATGTGTCATTTATGGCAAAATAACTGAATCCCTTTTAAGAGAGAGGGAAAATTTTTGTGTTGAGCATCATGAAACAGATCTGTGGCATGATACATGGAACATCATGCTAGTTATGTACCAGGATTTCGAACAACACTGCTTTAAGCAAAGGATATGGATATTTACTGGGGATTTAGGTAGATATACTTTATCACATGTATAGAATGTTTTAGATACTGATATATGGACTGGTAGCTTTGGCCATAGGAATGGTTAGCCCCAAGACAAATGTGTTTGAAGACAAACTCTGAAGATCCTCTGTCACAAGATCCTGTTGTGGACCAAGAGCTGCCACAAAGTCAGTAGACCATACAATCCAGCTCATGATCAGCTTATACTCTGCCTTTTGGTTCCAGGCAAGCCCTATTTGGCTAGTGCTTTAGGAGGGCTTGCAAACAGTCCTTTAAAACAGTAAAATATTGCCATTAGTTGGCGTCATAATTTTCGTGGCAATAGGGTCTTTATTTTCACTCATTTTGCTTTTGGCACATAGAGCTAATTCTGTGTGGCTATATTTATATAAGAAAAAGATTGAAAGACCTATTCTTCAAAATCATCCAAATACATAACCTCAACTAGGCTAGAATTTGGAGAGAAAATTTCTGTAGCTTTTTTTTTTAATCTTTTTTTTTCTTTTGTTACAAGTTCTTATTGTTGCCACAAGCAGCTCTGCTCCAGTAAGACTACCCACGAGGAATAGGTGTTGCTTGGGTTGGAAAGCTGTGGTAAGGTGAGTCATCTCAAAGACTAATCAGCAGCACAAAAATACCTATGTTTTTCTTTCCAGGAATGAGATGATGCAGGGCCTTGCCACTTCTACAACAGAAAGAAGGGAGTAGAGGGAAGATTAGACACAATGAGCTGGGTTTACTTCCCTACTGCTGCCAAAATGGCAGGAAGAATGGGGAAACTGCCACTGTGTCCCCTCTGCTCCCAATCTTATGAGTAGCAAACTCACCCCATGCTTTCCCCCTCAGCAAAGACTGCTGTTACCAGTGTGATTATTCAATTGTTCGAGCACTGCTGCCTTAAGCAACAACATCAAAAAAATCCCCATTTTGTCACCACATGCAAGGTGCCTTTGCCCAGAGTTACCTCAGAGGAGAGTGAAATAATCCAAGCACACAGTGGCTTCTCTAGAAATGTCCTACAGTCATATGAACATAATGTAAATCTCTAGGAACAGTAATTGCAGGCAGAGAAAAGGCCAATGAGTCCAGGAGGAGAAAATCTGAAGAAATGGTTTACCTCTCTAGTTTTATAGGTTTTTTTCCTGAGACAGGAACACCTCTTTTGAGTGAATTAAGAGGGGAAAAAGAGTTGGTAAGCCAGTCTGATAGCTGTGTGAAAGAAAAAAGCCTGTCTTGTCAGGGAAGAGTAGAAGAGGAAAGCTCTCAGCATGTGAAACACACATTTCCCCATTGTAGCTACTCAACTTTCTAAATAAAGGGAAAAAAATATCTTTTTTTCCTTCCAGAATCAGTAAGTGCATTAAGTAAAAGCACTTTGCATATTCCTTTTCCAATTTACATCTTTCCTGTACTTCAGAAACTCGTTTTCAGTTAAGTGTCTCTTATTAGGAAGCCTAGAAATAACAGTATTCAAACAATTATCTTGAACAGCAACCAATTGTTGTAATTTCCACTGATTACTCCAAAACATTCAGGATCTGCCACACGAAGGGAGAGGCAGTTTTGCTGTAAGGAATCTGTTCTGAGCCATTCTTTACTAAAAGAGGTTTGAACATATAAGGCAGCAAATACTTAGAAGATCCAGACATCATTTAAAATTTGTGCCTTGACACTTTTCTACTTTTCTCTTAATTACTGAAAAGCTGAAAGGAGAAATACAACTGTTCCTCTTCTGAACAAATTAATTGTAAAAAAATTGACTTTAAATCCACTCTTCCATTTTCTCATCAATATATTGAATAACAAGCTCTTCAGCAGATCCTACACTTACGTTTAAGGTTTTTCATATTAATTAGTTAAAATTGTGAGAAGAAAAGTAATGACAAATAGCAACTTTGCTAAGGCATCAGAAGCTAGTGTTGTCAAAGATAACTTTAAAGTAAGTACTAACTTTGTATTTAGAGAGTCTTGGACAAAATTATAACAAAATACAAATCAGAAGTGTTATGTCTTCATTAATGGCTGCCATCTTCTCCAGCAAAGGCAAGTTAAAAAGTGATTCCTCTTTCTCCCCCATGTGGTGGGATATGTTTTAAAAGCACATTGAAATTCTCCCCCAGTTTATCTAAAATCCTTAAAGAAGAGCAACACAAGTTTTGAGCCACAGAAAGAACTTCCAGCATCAATTTTGTTTCGAAACAGGATGTTCCTGGAATATTCAAATTTCAAGAACAAATGTTAAGGAAAGTTAGGAGAGGAAAAAAAAAAACCAGTTACCTTAACTAAATGTGGTCTCACTAGGGTAACAACTGATGTGTAGTTCTCTACTACAGGAGGGAATCCTATTTCCAGCTGTGCTTTGCAGTACCCAGAGCGCTTCGAGAGTATGTCTGACTTTTTACACCAAGGAACAAACAGTTTGTAATTCTCCACAACAGCAACAACTTCATACATTTCTTGCATAGAATACCTGGAAACAGAAATAGGAATGTTACAGTTACAAGGTATTTTAACTTTAATTCAGTATTGAAGTGTCAAAGATGGTATAAATGGTGTGGGCAGCTGGAAGGTGAACATGCAGTCACCTGAAAACTACCAGTGGTTCTGGAGATTAAAAATGCAGCTTTGCTAATTAAGAGGAAAAGAAAGTAGTAAACTGGTGATAGTCTTTACATGAAGAAGCAAAATACAACACACCATCCAGCAGTAAAGTTAATGAACATAAGCTAAAGAATAACCCAGGTCTTTTACTGTTCTTTCTCTAATTAAACAATCAGGACTCTACATCAGGATTCACATAATCAGAAATGGAACCAAACTTCCCTACTTAGCATTAGGCTTCTTTGGGGGTCTGTTTGGTTGGTTTGGTGGGTTTTTAAACACAGTGAACAGATAGATGCATTAGGTACGGGGTTTTTTTCAACCACCAAAGTGGTCTAGCAAATTAGTTACCAATTTGAACAATTAAACTGAACATGTTCTTTAAAAAAAAATCAACATAAAATTCTAAAGAAGTTAGTGAATATGACTCTCTCTTAAGTGTCATGTAAATGTGCATACATTTCAAATGAAACATTTTTTTTCAGCACAGCTGTGTCTTCGTTGAGGTCGACCTTAGACTTTCCACGTTAAAAAAATCCACACTGCATGGCTACCAAGACAAGGTGTATCAAAACTCAAGTACTATATTTAATATGGTTTCAACTGAGGAACACTGCATTCCTCACATCAGCCCAAATTAAAAAGCTTAATTAAAAAATACATACAATGGAAAAACCTTCCAGCATCACAGAATGGCTGAGGTTGGAAGGGACCTCTGGAACTCGTCCAACCCCCCTGCTCAGGCAGGATATTGAAATCAGATGAAACACATAATAGCAACATTTCAGTTGATTCTACTGTAACGTGGCAAAATATTATTAGCAATGGTTTTTAACTTTTACTTCTGACTCAGGAACAGATGGGATTAAACATGGGCTTCAATTCTTTAAAATGAAGCATATGTTCAACAGTACTCAGCAGTGAGTACTCTTGGACAAAGGCCTTTTTTTAGTGACTATGCAGATATGTTGCAGTTCGAGAACTATCACATAAAGGAATGTTAAGTATGGACAGAAAATTATGCTAATAAAAAAGTAATTCATGCTATTGTGGGCCAGAGACTGGGGGCAGATCCCAGCATCATTAAACGAACTGGAATTTTCCCACTAGCACTATGGCAAACTGGATTTCAAAATCTTTTTCTATGTGTCTTAGTTTCTTCATCACACAATTTTCTTCTTTTAAAGGAAGAAGAAAATCTTGAGAACTACAATATAACCTATGAGCAAACATTAGCATGGATTTGGGACAGAATGAAACAGAGTTTTCACACTTCTTGGTTTATTCATGTTTTACCAGATGAAATTATAAGTGTATTACTCCCTTTCAAGGTTGGTTTTGTTTTGTCATGGAACAGAACAGTTATTTCTGCTCTTTCTTTCTGTGGGCCATGGCTTTTGGGTTTCTACTTTTTTTATACTCAGTTTCAGACTGGTAAATCCTACCTTTACAAATTCTGAAAATCAGAACTCCTTTTTACATTCCAATTGGGCAATGTCATAGGGGCATGTGTCTGTAGGGATGGGGGGTTTTAACTCCTTTTGAACTTCTAGTGTTTCAGATTAATTACAGCAAATGTAAAAGCAATAAGCATTTAAAGTCTCTTTCCACAGTTTTATACAAACCCTATAATTCTTCTTTCAGAATATTCTTTTCTTTTATTTACTAGTGGTGCAGCAATGTTGAAGAAATTCCTTGAAAAAGTCTGGCTCGTTACAGGTACTTGCAAAGGAGAAGTTCTGGTCATCAGAACACCACAAGAAGCCAAGTGCCTGAAACAGTGAAAATGCTTTTAGATGTGTTTCATATCAGCAAAATAAGTAACAGCACATTCAAGTGGGACAAACAACCTGTTGTATAACATTCCAGAAAATGTCTGTCAGATGGAAAAGCAAAGGCTCATAACAGTACACAAACTGTCAAACATTTCTTTTCCTTAAGAGAAACTAAAAACAGCCCCCAGTCATGACAAAAGTAACTGGCAGAGTGAAACACAGAGGCCCTCATTAAACACTTGAACACATGGCAGCCTGAGTTCATGTACAAGTCTCATATGCACTTAATTTGCAGAACAGGTTTTCCTGATAGCAAAATCAAGGTTTGCAATACTTATCCCTTTTGGAATACACAAAGTAGAGAAGATTTCACTTGGAGATACAAAGTTGAACTCTGGTGCCATCCTTCTCTTAAAAGGACAGTTTAATTTTGAAAGTCCATTCGGAAGGTGCATTGTTACCCAGCTTTCCAAATTTCCTTCAGAAAATATAATCAAAACCTTGGACACAGTGTTTTCATAAATAAAGCTTAATTACCTGTAAAAGGACTAATAACCTTAAGATTGTACCTCAGTGTTCTCTGTTTGTGAACATCTACACTAAAATCTAAAAAATATTCATTGTGATTAACAGTTCTGCTAAATTACTGATTTTGCTGAGATCAAGTAGATCAAAATGTAAAATGCTGCCTCAAAAGTTGTGATTTTTGGCATCAGGAAATTAAAAATGCTACTCTTTGTCCTCAATGACTCTACAAACATAAGCTAAAGAGTAACCCAGGTCTTTTACTGTTCTTTAATTAAACAGTCAGGACTCTACATGAGGATTCACATAATCAGAAATGGAACCAAACTTCCCTACTTAGCATTAGGCTTCTTTAGGGGTCTGTTTGGTTGGTTTGGTGGGTTTTTAAACACAGTGAACAGATAGATGCATTAGATACATTTTTTTTCCCAACCATTGAAGTAGTCTAGCAAATTAGTTACCAATTTTGAACAATTAAACTGAGCATGTTCTTTAAAAAAATCAACATAAAATTCTAAAGAAGTATAGTAGTAACCTATGACTGAGCACATCAGCTTATGTGGTCACTGTGTTGGGAGGCAGGCAAATAATAAATTGGTATTGAGTTAGAGGAAAATAATCATCATTAGCAGATGGTTAGAAACAATCTGTATAGACTTTTTTAAAACCAACTATGCAACTGTGATATGAAGCAAGATGAGTGACAAACACAGATTGTAACCACTGCAATTGGAAAGAAATTATTTAAGATGGGACAGAAGTACTGTGTCAAAATTAAGAAAGGATAGGTCCACTTTAAAAGCCTTTAGACAACAACTCTGCAGATGTTTGCAACTGTATCTCAAGGGATGTGGTCACAGTCTGTTTTGTTTCCACACAGACTGGACAATACTTAAGGAAAAGCTTTGACAATTGCTTTGACAGGAAGTTGAAGGGTGCCAGTAGCATCGTAGCTGCCTCAGCCCCAGTCACAGAAAGTGTTCAAATGTATGGACATGACCTCATTCTGCACAGCAGATTTAAATCACTTTATCTGGGGCTATGTACAGCACACAGTCCAAACTGGTCACCAGGTTTCATCTCTTGGTCTGTTTTTATTGTAGGGCTGTACCAGTCTGTTGTTTCATACAGTTTTATCTAAACTTGTTTCGGCTGCAAGGCTGAAAAACAACCCCTGCAAACAATCCCTTGGCTGCTGTAAGACAATGTCCTTTTCACCATTATTTTGCCATTCGAGGCAGACAGGGTTAAGAGGTTACAATTCTAACAAGCGTGGTGAGACTCCATCCCTCTCCCGATTTTATCTGAAGAATAACAGACGCTGTGAGAATGTGCTGGGCTTGGTCCCAGCTCAGGAAAGCAGATCTCTGCAAGAAATCCCAGAAGCGTGGGTTTCCATGGGCTGTTTTTGTGAACCTGACCCGGGCCACAGAAGAAAAGCCAAGTCCATGCTAGAATTCAGACACACCTGCCACCTCAGTGTTTGCCCTCTGCCAGTAACAGAACCATCCCCCCTCACACTGCTCTCACTGCCTTCATCCACTCCTGCCACTCGCTGCTTTCTCCCTAAGCATTTGGGCTCTGATGACAGTACCACCCGACCTCCATGACCTGAAAGAGAAGCATTTCTGGTGTATGACATGCACACGTAAATAATCTATATTCAGTGGTTTTTTGTTGTTTTTTTTTTTTTTCTTAATAGCTACACAGTTTTCTAAGCCTAAAGGTTAATGTATTTTTGAAAAAAAAGGGATCTCCAACCCCTCACTGTAAAGACTGACATTAGTGCTGAGAGCCAATTGTGTTTACTGTACCCCAGCTGATACTTCCATCAGGTTAGTGATATCTGATGGCCATTTTATGATCTATGAGACATGAGTTGATCCCATGCAAATTTTTTGCTGACAGCTGTTCACATCCCAAAAAATGAGTGTACCAGCAAGTATCCTCATTAGCATCTCAGTCTGAATAAGCAGAAGAGACTATTTACCCCTGGCCCCTTGCAGTCTGCTGCTCAGCACAGCCAGGGTTCTGCTGAGCTGGCAGCAGGTACAACGTGCACACCAGTGACAACTGCAAAGCCAAAGCAACTCCAGATTCAAGGCTACAGATAACACAGCTCCGGGTTTGACCCCGCACTTGCTTAAAACCAGCTGCCAAGGCTTTCGCAGCTCACATCAGAAACATTGTCAAACTTAGTGTCCAGCTAGTTACTTAATGTGTTTCCTTATACGAAACACCCTTCCCAGCAATTGGATTTTGCCCTCGAGACTCAAATAAATGACTTTTTAAAACAGCGCTTTTGTTTACCAGGACTGAACTAATTTAATACTGCAAACACATCCTTAAGATTCTACCACAAGGGATACACAGTAAGAAGTGTGCCCCAAGGTTACATTACACCACTGCACAGTAACAATGATGCCAAATGATTGCTTGAAATTTGACATCATGAACCAACAGCTATTCCAATTTTGACAGTTTTCACGAGTATGACAGACTTTGACAAAGAAACACAGCAGCACTGCTATAATCATTTTTCTTCTCCTAACATTTCAAATCGCGCTCTCTCTCATCTGTTTGCTCTTTTTAATTCCAGTTACAAGATTGACTCTTCTCCAAAGCGTGTTCCTTTTCTCGAGTTGTTGCAGCCAGCCTTCCACGTGCTCAGGGGAGAAGGAACATGTTGCCTTACGAGAAGCAAAAACCACCCGGGCGTTTCACTCAGCGTTTAGTTTCTCTGCGCTCGCAGCCCTGCAGCCGCCTCGGGCAAAGGACGGGCGACTTCCCTACCGGGGATCCGGCCCCTCTCCCCCCCGCGCTCACCGCGCCCCGCGTACCTGCCGCCGGCCCCTCCGGCCAGAGCCCTGGTGAGCGCCGCTCCGCTCCGCGACATCCCGGCCCGTTGTCGCGTCTGTCGCCGCCTGTCCCCGCCTGTCGGCGCGGGGCCGGCCGGTCCTGCCGGCGGGGGCGCGCAGTCACGGGACGGCGCGCGCGCGGCCGCGGCGCTGCCCGTGGGATTGGCGCCCGGCGGCGGCGCGCCCCGCGCGCGGCCATAATTGGGCTTGTGGGCGCGGGGAGTCCCCTCAGTGCCCCCCCGGCCCGGCCCTGTCCCGTCCCTGTCCCTGTCCCCGTCCTGTCATCCTGTCCCCATCCCCGTCCCGCACAGCGCCTAGCCGGGGGTCCCCGCCGAAACAGCTCCCTCCGCGGCCCCTCAGCTGGAGCTCGTCCCGCTCCTGCTCGGTGCGGGCTCGGGGTTACGGTCACCAGCGTCATTAAAACTCATCAGTGAGGCCACAGACCCGACTGTAATCACAGAGAGTCGTTTTAACACGAGCTGAAGCAAAGAGCTCGCTACTTTCTTTTAATTCGCCTTTCAAATGCAACCTCCCTCAACGAAAGCCTGCTTTACAATTACAGTGTGATTGACGAACTACTGTTTGAATATAACTCATCACACATTCCGTATTTTGTACTTAATATGTATTACATGTAAGTTGTTTAAAGGTAAGTCTGCAAAATCTATTTCCATAAAATAGCTTGGGTGGTTTGGGGTTTGGTTTGGTTTGGTTTGTTTTGTTTAATTTAGTACCTGGTGGACTGGCAGCCCTCTGACTGGGAATCTTGAACTAAGTTTAGTGTTTACTCACCCTGAACTTGAACCTGTGTCTGGGTTGTGTCACACTAGAAAACCAGCTCGGATACATTGTCATCAATGTCTCTCCAGCTATGGGAAGAACCCTTTACCACCCAATTAAATGCAACAAGAACTTTAAAAGCAATGAAAGCCATTTAGTCAATGCATTGAAAAGCAAGAAAATTTCTGGACAAAAATAACAGTTCCAACTATGTAAGCCCACAACAACCACCTCTTCAGAAAAGTCCTCCTTTTTATCCCTCCTTAATTATCCCAGTGTCCTTGCCATTAGCAAAACCACTCACCATTAAACAAGAACACCGCCAATTTGGATGACTGAAACTAGTTGGAGCAGCTTTCACTTTACCACCTCAGGGCATGGTGTTCTTCAGATAAGCTGTCCCGTAGCATATTCCTATTAACTTGATGTAAAACAGAAACATGTGAAAACCCACATTCTCCAGTGCAGGCTGAAAACAAGCAGCCAATCCAGAAACACAAACAAAACCCCAATCCTGGCCTCCCTCCTTCTCCTTCAGTCCTTATTACTAAACTCATCTGTGTGTTTTGCAACTTCCATCAGAGCTGCTCTTATTTGCTGATGTCTGTGTTTGCCATGGGAGTGTGTTCTGTCCCGTTGTTCTGTCTTGTTCTGTGGATCAGGAACTGCATCTTAGAGAGATTGATGTCTTTCAGAATAACCGAAGAGTCAAGTGTTGAGAGGTCCAAGATGATGGATGTCTGAGGCACTTTGAGGGTTTTTTTGCCTGTTTCATTTTCTCCTGTAGGCTCAAGATTGCAGTCATTAAACCTTGTCTGATACCTATTGCTAGAAAAGAGATGTGCATTTGCTAACTTTGACAGGAAGAGGGTCTCAAATTAACACTTAACACTTAGAGGGATGCAAGATGTTTCTGATACACCAGAAAGAGATGTATAGTATGGTCACACAGAATTTTTTTTCTGTGTGCTATTTTTTGTAACATCACCATCATGAGAAAAGGTCAGGTTTAAACTCTGATTATGAGATTTATCCTATTAAAAAACAATTAAGAATTTTAAGGACACGTCTAAGTGGGCAGAGAGACAGTCAATCCTAGATGAGGCAAGTGCATCCCTGTGTAAAAGCAGGTTATTTTTACACAATTTATTCAGCTCTCTTTCTACAGATTACTGAAAAGGGCAGCTGGTTTAGTATGTTCCTTTAAGAGATAAAGAGCAAAGCAAAATTATAGCCATTGTAGTTTTTAATAATACTTGCGTTTGAAAGATCTCAAAATATCTCACAATCATACATTTAGGCTAAGGACAATCTACAAGCGTGGGTGATGATTAAGTTGC